GCTTTGGCTATTCGGGGTCTTTGGTGTTTCCATATGAATTTTTGAACTATTTGTTCCAGTTCATTGAAGAATGCTGTTAGTAATTTGATAGGGATTGCATTGAATCTGTATATTGCTTTGGGCAGAGTGGCCATTTTGACAATATTAATTCTTCCTAGCCAGGAGCATGGGATGAGTTTCCATTTGTTAGTGTCTTCTTTAATTTCTCTTAAAGTGTCTTGTAGTTTTCAGGGTATAGGCCTTTCACTTCCTTGGTTAGGTTTATTCCTAGGTATTTTATTCTTTTTCATGCTATTGTGAATGGAATTGTTTTCCTGATTTCTCTTTCTATTGGTTCATTGTTAGTGTATAGGAAAGCCACAGATTTCTGTGTGTTAATTTTGTATCCTGTAACTTTGCTGAATTCCGATATTAGTTCTAGTAGTTTTGGAGTGGAGTCTTTAGGGTTTTTTATGTACAATATCATGTCATCTGCAAATAGTGAAAGTTTGACTTCTTCTTTACCAGTTTGGATTCCTTGTATTTCTTTATTTTGTCTGATTGTTGTGGCTAAGACCTCCAGTACTGTAAGTTGTTGAATAACAGTGGGGAGAGTGGGCATCCCTGTCTTGTTCCCGATCTTAGAGGAAAAGGTTTCAGCTTCTCACATGTTAAGTGTGATGTTAGCTGTGGGTTTGTCATATATGGCCTTTATTATGTTGAGGTACTTCCCCTCTATATGCATTTTGTTGAGAGTTTTTACCATGAATCATTGTTGAATTTTGTCCAATTCTTTTTCAGCATCTATAGAAACGATCATGTGGTTTTTGTCCTTCTTTTTGTTGATGTGGTAGATGATGTTGATGGATTTTTTAATGTTGTACCATCCTTGCATCCCTGAGATGAATTCCACTTGGTCATGGTGTATGATCCTCCTGATGTATTTTTGAATTCAGTTTGCTAATATTTTGTTGAGTATTTTTGCATCTATTTTCATCACGCATATTGGTCTGTAATTTTCTGTTTTTGTTGTGTCTTTTACTGGTTTTGGTATTAGAGTGATACTGGCTTCATACAATGAGTTTGGAAGTATTCCCTCCTCTAAGTTTTTTGGAAAACGTTAAGGAGAATGGATATTATGTCTCTTCTATATGTCTGATAAAATTCAGCGGTGAATCCATCTGGACCAGGGGTTTTGTTCTTGGGTAGATTTTTTTATTACCGAGTCAATTTCTTTGCTGGTAATTGGTCTGTTTAGATTCTCTGTTTCTTCCTTGGTCAGTCTTGGAAGGTTGTATTTTTCAAAGAAGTTGTCCATTTCTTCTAGGTTTTCCAGCTTGTTAGCATGTAATTTTTTGTAGTATTCTCTAATGATTCTTTGTATTTCTGTGGTGTCCGTCGTGATTTTTCCTTTCTCATTTCTGATTGTTGATGTATGTAGATTCTCTTTTCCTCTTAATATGTCTGGCTAGGGGCTTATGTATTTTGTTTATTTTCTCAAAGAACTAGCTCCTGGTTTCATTGATTTTTTTTCTATTGTTTTATTCTTCTCAATTTTATTTATTTCTTCTCTGATCTTTATTATGTCCCTCCTTCTGCTGACATTGGTCCTCATTTGTTCTTCTTTTTCAATCTCAATAACTGTGACTTTAGACTATTCATTTGGTATTGTTCTTCCTTCTTTAAATGTGCCTGAATTGGTATATACTTTCCTCTTAGAACTCCCTTCACTGCGTCCCATAGAAGGTGGGGCTTTGTGTTGTTGTTGTCATTTGTCTCATATATTGCTTGATCTCTATTTTAATTTGGTCATTGATCCATTGATTATGTAGGAGCATGTTGCTGAGCCTCCATGTGTTTGTGAGCCTTTTTGTTTTCTTTGTAAAATTTATTTTTAGTTTTATACCTTTGTAGTCTGAGAGGTTGGTTGGTAGAATTTCAATCTTTTTGAATTTACTGAGGCTCTTTTTGTGGCCTAGTATGTTGTCTATTCTGGAAAATATTCCATGTGCACTTGAGAAGCATGTGTATCCTGCTCTTTTGGGCGTAGAGTTCTTAGATGTCTATTAGGTCCATCTGTTCTAGTGTGTTTTTCAGTGCCTCTGTGTCCTTACTTATTTTCTGTCTGGTGGATCTGTCCTTTGGAGTGAGTGGTGTTTTGAAGTCTCCTAAAATGAATGCATTGCATTCTATTTCCTCCTTTAATTGTGTTAGTATCTGTTTCACATATGTTGGTGCTCCTGTATTGGGTGCATATATATTTATAATGGTTATATCCTCTTTTTGGACTGACTCCTTTATCATTATGTAATGTCCTTTATCTCTTGTTACTTTCTTTATTTTGAAGTCTATTTTGTCTGATACTAGTACTGCAACAGCTGCTTTTTTCTTCCTGTTGTTTGCATGAAATATCTTTTTCCATCCCTTAACTGTCTGTGTGTGTCTTTGGGTTTGAGATGAGTCTCTTGTAAGCAGCCCATAGATGGGTCTTGCTTTTTTATCCATTCTATTACTCTGTGTCTTTTGATTGGTGCATTCAGGCCATTTACATTTAGGGTGATTATTGAAAGATATGTACTCATTGCCATTGCAGGCTTTATATTTGTGGTTACCAAAGGTTCAAGGTTAGCTTCTTTAGTATCTTACTGCCTAACTTAACTCACTTATTGAGCTATTATAGACAGTGTCTTGTGGTTCTTTATTTCTCTCATTTCTTATTCCTCCTCCTCCATTCTTTATATGTTAGGTGTTTTATTCTGTACTCTTTTGTGTTTCTTTTGACTGCTTTTGTGAGTAGTTGATTTTATCTTTTGCCTTTAGTTAGTATTTTGTTGGTCTTCTTTCTTTGCTGTGATTTTATTTTCTCTGGTGACAGCTATTTAGCCTTAGGAGTGCTTCTGTTTACAGCAGTCCCTTTAAAATACCCTGTAGAGGTGGTTTGTGAGAGGCAAATTCCCTCAACTTTTGCTTGTCTGGGAATTATTTAATCCCTTCTTCATATTTAAATGATAATCATGCTGGATACAGTATTCTTAGTTCAAGGCTGTTCTGTTTCATTGCATTAAATATATCATGCCATTCTCTTCTGGGCTATAAGGTTTCTGTTGAGAAGTCTGATAGCCTGATGGGTTTTCCTTTGTAGGTGACCTTTTTTCTCTCTCTGGCTGCCTTTAATACTCTGTTCTTGTCCTTGCTCTTTGCCATTTTAATTATTATGTGTCTTGGTGTTGTCCTCCTTTGGTCCCTTCTGTTGGGAGATCTGTGGGCTTCTGTGATCTGAGAGACTTTTTCCTCCCCCAGTTTGGGGAAGTTTTCAGCTATTATTTCTTCAAAGAGACTTTCTATCCCTTTTTCTCTCTCTTCTTCTTCCGGTACCCCTATAATGCAGATATTGTTCCATTTGGATGGTCACACACTTCTGTTAATATTCTTTCATTCCTGTGCATCATTTTATCTCTGTGTGCCTCAGCTTCTCAGTGTCCCTGTTCTCTGATTTTTATTCCATTAACGGCCTCTTGCACCTCATCCAGTCTGCTCTTAAGTCCCTCCAGAGATTGTTTTATTTCTGTATTCTCCTTCCTAACTTGATCCTTTAGCTCTTGCATATTTCTCTGCAGGTCCGTCAGCATGGTTATGACCTTTATTTTGAATTGTTTTTCAGAAAGATTGGTTAAATCTATCTCCCCAGGCTCCCTCTTGGGGGTTGTCTGGGTAATTCTGTACTGGATCCAATTCTTCCGCCTTTTCATGGTGAAAGAAGTATTTGTAGGCAGTTGGCGTGTGTGTCAGCTGGGAGAACAACGTCCTTTCCTGTGCCTTGCCCTTCTCCACTGCCTGTGCTGGTTACCGCACATGGGGAGCAGCTTCCAGTTTTATTTCCTGAGCCACCACGGGCAGTGCTGCTGTCAGGGCAGCCCAGTGCCCTATGGGGAGTGTCAGGCGCTCCAGGTGTGCTCTCATGCAAGAATGGTGACCCTTTGTGCCCTGTCCCAGCTTCCTCTGTGTGTGCTGTGTTTCTGCACGCCACTGGGGCCTCTGAGTCTGGCCCAGGTGGGTGTGGAGGAGGCTCTGGGTGGCCGCTGTGGGCGCGGCTGCTCTCAGGCCACTCCCCTGCTGTGACAGGGCTGCGCGGGAGGGGGAATGGACAGGAGGCTGTGTATCACCATGAGGGCCTTCAGAGCTGCGTTTCCTCCCAGGGGGCTGGGGCGCCTGAAATTCCCTGGGATTCTCAGCTGCTGGACTGACTGTGCCGGGACAGTTCCATCCAGCTGTGGAGTCCCTGTCTCTTTAAGACTTGCAAAAAGCACTCGTTTTTTTTTTCCTTGGGGGTGCCGGCTGCGGGTACCCACTTGCAGGTTTTACTGTCCTGTTTCCCTGATACCAGCACACCACGCACTGTGTGTCTGTGCTCCCGGTGTGGATGGCTAGGGCTGGGTGTTTAGAATTCCTGGGTTTCCTCTCCCTCCCCACTCCAACTCCTCTCCTCCCGCTGGGGATCTAGGGTAGGGGTAATGCTTGGATCCTGCTGGGCTGGGGCTTGTATCTTACCCCCTTCATGAGGTGCTGAGTTCTCGCAGATGTACATGTAGCTTGACTGTTGTACTGTATCTTCTAGCCTCTCTTTTAGGAATAGTTGTACTTTTATTTTCAAAAATATATATGGTTTTGGGAGGAGATTTCCACTGCCCTACTCGTGCCACCATCTTGGCTCCTCCTCTCTGTGATCAGTCTTTTTTAAATATTCTTTTAGATAACCTCTTTAATAAGGCTTTTCTTTAAGCCTACAAAAAAATTGTCATAAACCACACACTTCTGTGATAAGGCCCTCTCCTACATTCTCCCATCCTTCTCTTTGTTAGCTAATGTTTCAATTACTTTGTCTAAATATAACTATAATATTTCAGAAGATATAGACATAAGTCTTCCACACTTTATGTCATGTTGTTCGTCTAGTAATCAACAAATAAAAGCATTACTTAAAAATGTTAAATTTATTTGGTATTTGTTTCTGCTTTTTAAAGGAGGAACTCTCTGGAATGAAAAACCGGGTACAAGTTGTCGTGCTTGAAAATGAAAGGCTCCAACAAGAGCTGAAATCTCAAGGACAAGAGGGAGCAATGAGGGAGCAAACACTTCTGGATGCATCTGTGAGCATTTTTTAAAACTATATATTTTAGTTTGAATGTTCCCTTCTTACATCCCCCTACTCCCCACCCTCAAACCTTTTCTAAACAACTGAGATTCTCTCTCTGAAGTTTGGCAAAAGTATTTTTCTGGTACTTGTGTGGGGCCTCAAAAATTAAAATTCACAGTGGTGCAAGGAATCTTCAAATGAAATGCTATAGTCATGCCTAATATTTACTCCAGTTTCCTCTCTGAGAATACTATTGCAACATAATGAGTTACAAGAAATAGATATTTGATCATTCAGGTGGCCAAAATACATCACTCAGATACATCTGGTCTTCATCCACCGTCCCTGAAAAATGGCTTCAGGATCATAAAGGTGAAATGGGTGTCTTGTGAAGTTAATGAGAGACTTTTTTATCCCACTTGAGGGTGTGGGCTGGAGGTTGAATCAGCCAGTGGCCAGTGATTTAGTCATTAATGACTATGTAATGAAACCTTCATAAAAAACCAAGAGAAGAGCATTTTGCTCCCTCTCTCTTTTACATCCTGCTTCTCTGTTAAAGAGAGCTCCAATGCTTGGGGAATCAGAATGTTTCTGCATGTGCCACCCAGCCAAGCCCCAAGTTCCATGATAGAAGAATAGGAGTCCTTTATTTGGGACCTTCTCCTATGTATATCTTCATCTAGCTGTTAAATTGTATCCTTTATTAAACTGGTATTCCTAAGTGTTTTCCTGAGTTCTGTGAGCTGCTCTAGCAAATTAATTGAACCTAAGTGAAAGGACATGGAACCTCCATTCTGTAGTGAGTAGGTCAGAAGTACAGGCAATAGTCTGGGGCTTGGCATGGGTGTCTGGATGGGGAGGTTGGGATTGGGGAGGGCAGTCTTGAAGGTCAGAGCCCTTAACCTGGAGAACTTTATCTGCTGTCTCCAGACAGACAGCATCAGAACTGAGTTGAGTTCTCAGACACCATTCTGAGTTCTCAGACACCATGCTGGTGTTTGAGAATTGCTTGGTGTTGTGAGTGGGGACACCTTCTCTCTTCTCTGTTCCCCTCCACACACCCAGCACAACACAGACACATTGAATCTGTCCAGAAACCGTAAAGGAACCATTTGTGTTTTTCTGTATGTAAAGAGCAGGTTTAAGAGCAGGAAGTATGTTAGAGGAAGGACTATATTAAATCCAGAAATTATTCAGAACTTTAGCTTAGATTTCAGTTATATTTCTATAAATTTTCCTTGAGTTTTGAGTTCCTAAGCCAAACTAGCAACACTGTGTAGCAGAAAGAACACTGGGCTGAGGATCCAAGAATCAAAACGTCAGTCTTCCCATTGTTCCTAACAAGCTGGGTGTTTAGCGTGGATTATAGAGCTTTCAAACAAGGCTTAACATTATGGGTCCTCTGTTTGCTTATTGGCTATTTGGGAAGATTCACCCAGTTCTCAGTCTTTAACGTGAATAACAGTCACTTTGGATACTTGTCAATGCAGATTTCTGAGCTCTATATCCTCCTAGTCTAACTGATTTGGTCTGCGTTGACTTCTTGAGTCAATAGTGTGAATTTTTAACCAGTTGCATACATAATTTCAATATCAGTGGACCACATATTGAAGAACAGTGGATTAGCTGATCCCTATAATTCTGACACAAAATTCTTGTGATCATATTTAAATAGTGTTTGAACTTAACATCTCCTTTTGACTTGTCAGAGATGCTTCTGCCTTCAAAATGTTTGTCATTCCTTTGCTACAGGACACAGTTAATTGCCACTTGTTCTGCTTTTTGAGATAAACTCAACATTCCATGGGGAAGTTTTCATATTTGTCTGTTGCAGCTTTACTTTGCAATGGATTTTAGTGATTTTTCTGTTAAGAAAAAATATGAGTGTCTTCATGCTTTGTTCCTGAAGTGCTTTTATTTCTCCTACCTGATGTTTCATTTGTAATCCTTGAGTTCTGTGTTATAATTAGAAGTAGCTCATTGTGTTAACTCTGAATAATAAAGTGGGCTGATTAGTATTGCAGTTTATTTTTCTGCAGTTACATTTCAGTTTGTGATCAGCTATTTTCCCTTCACAATATGACTTTTTCTGAATACTTCTGTTATTATATTATGAATATTAGTTGTTAAAATTCCATCTTAGTGGTTTATTAGTTATTCTTTTGATGTCAACTCAAAGATGATATGGCCATATGAAAAGTACTTACAAGTAGCTCATTTTAAAAAATAAACATATCCTTTTGCTTTCCTTCCAACTATGTAGTCACTTAGCCAACAGTGACACAGTTATTCATAGTCTTCAATATTTATACAGTGGCAAGGAAGCAGAGGAAAGAGAAATGAAGTGAGAAAGGAAATTGGGAGATGTTAAGTTCAAACACTATTTAAATATGATCACAAGAATTTTGTGTCAGAATTATAGGGATCAGCTAATCCACTGTTCTTTAATGTGTGGTCCAATGATATTGAAATGATGTGTCCAGCTGGTTAAAAATTCACACTATTGACTCAAGAACTCAAGTGAATCAGAGGGCAAGAGAAGTGAGTAATGCAGAAGGGGAAGGAAATGATGATAAAAAACACACATGCTTTGCCACATGAGCAAAGGAAACTTACTAAAGAAAACTGCAGCCATAATAATAGCAAAAGCAAAGTCATAGAAAGGATTTTGTTTCAGACATGTACCTGAGCTAAAATATGATGCAAATAATCAAGTGATGATTGCAGATGAGTCAGGTGACCCTGATAACAATTTTAATGTTAGTCTTATTTGTTATAAAATCACCCCCAGTTCTTGTGTAGGTGAATTGAGGGATTTCAGCAACCTATGCTGAAATATTACAATAAATATTTCATAATATTAACATAAATTTATGTTAACATAATATTAACATAAGTTAAACTTTTAAAAATATTTTAAACAGAACAAAGATATGATCTTCCTTTTCTGAATTATTTTAAATGAATCTGTTAGAATGTTAATGGTAGATCTTGCCAAAGCCATTGGCAGATTTTTTTTTCTACTTCTGTTTTTTTTTCTTATTTATTTATTTATTCATTCATTTATTTGTTTATTTATTTATTTATTTTTTAGTTTAAAAAAAATTTTGTTATCATTAATCTACAATTACATGAAGAACATTATGTTTACTAGGCTCTCCCCTACCCCAAGTTCCCCCCATAAACCCCATTACAGTCACTGTCCATCAGCATAATAAGATGTTGTAGAATCACTACTTGTCTTCTCTGTGTTGCACAGAACTCACCATGCCCTCCCCCACTTTAAACATGTTAATCATAATACCCCCTTTCTTCTTCCCCACCCTTATCCCTCCCTACCCTCCCATTCTCCCCAGCCTCTTTCCCTTTGGTAACTGTTAGTCCATTCTTGGGTTCTGTGATTCTGCTGCTGTTTTGTTCCTTCGGTTTTTCCTGGTTCTTATACTCCACATGTGAGTGAAATCATTTGGTACCTGTCTTTCTCTGCCTGGCTTATTTCACTGAGCATAATACCCTCTAGCTCCATCCATGTTGTTGCAAATGGTATAATTTGTTTTCTTCTTATGGCTGAGTAATATTCCATTGTGTATATGTACCACATCTTCTTTATCCATTCATCTACTGATGGACACTTAGGTTGCTTCCATTTCTTGGCTATTGTAAATAGTGCTGCAATAAACATAGGGGTGCATCTGTCTTTTTCAAACTGAAGTGCTGCATTCTAAGGGTAAATTCCTAGAAGTGGAATTTCTGGGTCAAATGGTAAGTCTATTTTGAGCATTTTGAGGAACCTCCATACTGCTTTCCACAATGGA